AGTGTTGAAGAGCAAAGATGTCAGCTTGAGGACAAAGGTGCACCTGACCCAAGCCATGGTATTTTAAATAACCTCGTATGCATGTGAAACTGGACAGTAAATAAGGAAGACCATAGAAGAACTGATGCATTTGAGTTGTGTTAGAGAAGAATATTCAAAGTGCCATGGGCTGCCAGAAGAACCAATAGATCTGTTTTGGAAGAAGTGCAGCTAGAGTTCTCCTTGGAGACCAAGATGACCAAACTTCGTCTCTCATACTTCAGACATATTGTCAGAAGGGACCAGTCTCTGGAGAAGGATATCATGTTTGGTAAGGTGGAGGGTTAGAGAAAAAGAGGAAGACCCCAACGAGATGGATTGGCCAAGTGGCAGCATTGATAGACTCAAGCGTGGCAAGAGCAGTGAGGTTGGCCCAGGATCGGGCAGTGTTTCGGTCTGCTGTGCATAAGGTTGCTATGAGTTGGTACCGACTCTATGGCACCTAACAAAAACAATTTATTGGAAAACAAATTAGACTGGGTAGAAAAAATTTTTATCTCAGCTGTTTTACTCAAAACAAAATAGAGACAAGATATTCTGCAAACAAACCTATCAAGAAGGTAAAAAAAAAAAAAAAAAAACCGTAGTATGGAAGGACGTATAAAACATCATATATCCGATAAGGAATTTGTATTCATAATATGTAAAGAACTCTCACAGCACAATATTGAAAACACAAATTATCTAATTTTTAATGGTAAAAGAATTTTAATATACATTTCTCAGAAAATGATATGCAAACGACCAATGTTGTTGTTAAGTGCCTTCAACTTAGTTCCAACTCATGGTGATCCCTGTGTAGGGTTTTCGAGGAGTGGTTGGTGGCTTTAACTGAAGACTTTGTAGTTAGTAGTCCAGGCTTATCCTACAGTGCAACACATATGAAAAGATGTATGACATCACAGTCATTAAACCAAAAGGACATCTCTAGGCTTTTTTTCCTAGGTGTCTCGGGGAGGGTTCAAACTGCCAGTATTTTCATTAGTAGTCCAGTGCTTAGTCATTTGTACCACCCAAGGATCCCTCATTACTTATTCCCAGTTTGCAATTGCTGTTAAGTGCCACGAGTCGATTCTGACCCATAGCGACCCTTTATAGGGTTTCCAAGGAGCAGCTGGTGAGCTTGAACCACCGACCTTGCAGTTCAAACAACTTTGCAGTCTGATGCATTAGCCCACAGCGCCACACTAGGACTTATGCCATCAAATCAGTTCCTGCTGATGGCTACCCTATGCAACAGAACAAAATACTGCCTGACCCCTCACCAGCCTCACAGTTGTTACACTTGAGCCCGTTGCTGCTGTCCCTGTAATCCAACCTCCCTCCCCTGCTGAATCTCCACTTTACCTAGTATGATGTTCTTCTCCAGGAGTCTGGTCCCACTTGATAACATTTCCTAAGTATGACAGACAAAGTCTCACCATCCTGGCTTCTAAGAGCATTCTGGGTATACGTGTTCCAACAACAGAGTTGTTTGTTCTTCTGAAAGTCCATGGTACTTTCAATATTCTTCTCTAACAGCATAACTCAAATGCATCAATTCTATGGTCTTCCTTATTCACTATCCAACTTGCACAAATGCTTATGAGGCAATTGAAAATACTATGGCATGGGTCAGGCACACCTTAATCCTCAAATTGCTGTCTTTGCGCTTAATCACTTTAAAAGAGGTCTTGTATAACAGATTGCCTTAATGCAAAACATCGTTTAACTTCTTGACCTGTTGCTCCCATGAGTGTTGATTGTAGATCCAAGCAAAATGAAGTCTTTGACAACTTCAATCTTTCGCCATTTATTATGTTATTTATTAGTCCTGTTGTGAGGATTTTTGTTTTCTTTACATTGAGGTGTAATCCAAACTGTAGGCTGTATTCTTTGATCTTCATCAGTAAGTGTTTAAAGTCCTCTTTGCTTCCAGCAAGGAAGATTGTATCATCTGCATATTGCAGGCTGTTAATGAGCCTTCCTCCAATCCTCATACCATGCTCTCTTCTTCATTTAATGCAACTTCTAGGATTATTTGCCATTCACACAGATTGAATAAGTATTGTGAAAGAGCTCAAACCCTGGCCGCACACCTTTTCCTGACTTTAAACCATTCAGTGTCCCTGTGTTCTCTTCTAATATACAGGTTTTTAGTCTAGGTACAAGGAGCTCTGGTAGCGAAGTGGTTATGAATCGGGCTGCGAACCTTAAGATCAGAGTTTCGAAACTACCAGCCGCTCCATGGGAGAAAGATGAGGCTTTCTACTCCCGTAAAGATTTATACCCGCGGAAACCCTGTACAGGGTCGCTATGGGTCAGAACCGACTCAATGGCACTTAACAACAACAACACTGTATATACATTTATAATATGTATACTTAATTTGCTCATTATTTATGTTTCCTTTTAAAATGTAACCTGTGTTTTTATTTTGTGTTTTTCCTTAGCCACAACAAGTGGTTCAGAAGAAGCCTGCTCAGGTAAGAGGTGATCATTATATTTTTTTCTCCCAATTAACATAATTACTAACGTGAAAAATATGTGCTCAAATTAAAGTCTTAATTGGCATTTTTCTAGATTTGAAAATGCCAGCATTGCATTTTTGCAAAGAGAATTTGTTGTATTCTTCAGAAGACATCAGGACTATAATCCTGAGAATGCATCATTAAAAACCCTCAAAGACAAAAGTCTTTAGTGTACAAAGTAAATGTGCTTTTTAAATGTTTTTAAGTGATTTAAAAAAAAAATGATTTTATTTCAGTGCCCCATAAGAAAAAGAGAAATATTTAACCTTCTGACATATTTTCCTGATTCTGAAACATCAGATTTTGTCCTCGCCCCATATCCCTTTGATTTAATACGACACTTAATAGCCGCAGAACATAATTCATGATTCATGACTGGAAGCTGTTCTGTTCATTGATTCAGTCCATAATATTTGATAACTCCAAAGACCCCAAAAGAAGCTAGCCATGTAGATAACTCAGTTACACCGATTCTGCAGCTTAAAAAACTGAATCACAGTCTTTGAAATCTCTGGAAACATCAAAGTTAGGAACCAGCTTTACTTCTTTGTTCCACATGTCAGGAGTTGCTGGTCCTAACTACTTGTTCCTGCCAAATTCCAACTCAGAGCAAGCCTACAGGACAAATTAGAACTGCTTCGTGAGCTGTGCAAGACTGTAATTGACAGGAGCAGACTGCTGCATTGAACCAACAACCTTTCAATTAGCCGCTGAGTGCTTAACCACTGTGTCACAAGGGCGCCACAATCCGGGCATTCTCCAAACCAAATCCATTGCCATCAAGTCAACTCCAACTCATAGCGACACCATGGAGGGTTGCCGAGGTGGTAAATCTCTGCAAGAGCAGACAGCCTCATCTTTGTCCCACAGAGCAGCTGGTGGGTTTGAACTGCCAACCTTGTGGTTAGCAGTCCAGTGCTTATCCTACAGCACTACCATACGAACATAGAAATCATGCTTAATGAGAAAGTCGATCTTGAAGATAAGACAACTAAAGAATAATTAAATTGTGATTGCTTACTGTGTGAACTGTTACTATAATTTTAGGACATTCTTCTTTATTTAACGTTTGCTGTTCTTCTCTATTTCTGAGCTGAAATGGACACTCAGAAGAGCTAGGAATTATGTAAGACCTGCTAATATGAGTTCTTAACAAGTATCATGAGTTACCAAGTTTTTTATACAGATCTTTCATAGTAAAACATTTTAATAATTTAAAATATTCATGGAATAGTTTTCCCTGAAAGTCTTTAAAGATGTGCCCTATACCCTCTTCACATAAGACAGCACTGCCTTGCTGAGGGAAGGCCCTCCTGGCAGATTTTATATCTCGTTAAAAATGCTGCTTGGAAGAGAGTTGAAGCTTTTATACACATGTTAGGACCCAGGGGAAAATGTGTTAAAATAATTCCACTTGTGCTTTAAGTGGAATAAAGCCAGAAAGTCAGAATTACCATTTTAAAAAAAACACACCCTTATTCTCATTGTTCCCTGACTCCCAAAAGCCAGGGGTGGGAGGAAGGAGCTCTAAAAGTAAGTACTTCATGTTTGTAAACAAAATAAAATATAAATAAAAATGTGCCATTTTAAGGACACCTCAGATAGATTTAGCCTCACATCCTTTATCAATAAGCTAAAATCAAGACGAAGTGAGTGTGAAGTTCTGTGCATACATGTCTAAAGGAAACTGTAGTACTGCTGTCTCATCGCAGGTTGTGACCCTTATATTAACAACCTGATGTAGTCTGTTAACAACTTTGGTTCAGTTCCTGATCTTAGTGGTGTAGAGAAAACCAGTGGAACAAATTCACCGCATTTTGGAAATGTGTGATCTAGTTCAGAGGTTCTTGGTTGTATGTTCACATCACCTGGAAAAACACACACACACTTGCATGGACCCCACCGAATAAGTAGTGTGTGAGGGCCAGCCCTTGTAATCCAATTATAAACATGTCTTCCCTAGTCTACATTCATTGATGACAAGCAGCATGAAATAGCTGGGGTGAGAGTGTTTACACCATAGAAATCAGCAAACACTACAAATCAGGGCCTTTTTCCCCTAGAGATCAAGTTGTAAAACATTTACCTACATGCCACTGACCCCAACCTCCAGAGGTTCTGGTTATTTGGTCTGAGGTAGAGGCCCCAAGCGTAAGTATTATTTTATAAGCTCGCTAAGTGATTCTAGCGTGCAGCCAGAGGCGAAGGCATTCTGTGTACCCACGTGAGAAAACCTCTGAACCCGGACTACCAGCACATATGGGAACATGAGGGATCTAAATGAATGAGTGCAGTGCCGTAGATTATTGAGAGCATTGTTCCTAAAATAGTTTTGATCTTCGTTTTTGTTGTTCAGATGCCCAAGAGAAAATGGAGACATAAATCAGGGAGAGAAAGGATGGCATTATAGATGAGATATGAATGGCATAAACAAAAGGAGAAAGGCAGGAACGAATAAATCATAAGTGGGAATGATGTGGTGGCAAGATCAAATTGCAAACTGGGCATTAATACGCCAAAACATTACACAAGAGCAATCCTAGGCATACAGGTTTTGCTTTGTTGTTTTTTTTTCCCAAAGAAGCAGGACTATTACAGAATGATCTTCACTTGATGGGTATGACTGTTTTAGAATCCCTGCCTGAAATTAACACTTTGAAGGAGAGAGGTTCAGATGTAGAATTGGCAACGAGAATATGTATTGTCCTAATCTGTATTGTCTAAGGACATAATGATGAATTATATAAATATGGGCTACATGGAAGTTCGGAATCCTGATGTGGCACTGTGGGATAAGGCACTGGACTGCAAGGTCAGTTTGAACCGCAAGGTTGACAGTTCAAACTAAGCAGCCGCTCCTCGGAAACCCTATACAGGGTCTCTATGAGTCTGAAATGACTCGAAGGCACTTAACAATAATGGCATGGAAGTTCGTGGAGGATGATGTAAATTTTACACTACATTCAGAAGACTTTATAGTTTTCCATCTGTTTCTTTCAAAATACCCATTTCCTTTTCCATTGTGGCAGTGTGAATTAACTCAGACTCCTGTCCTCTCTTCATCAGCAGTACTCTGGGGGATTACATTCAGATCTGATTTTGATGTGGTAAAGATTTTAGCACAATTAAATATTTTGTATCTGGTGTGGTGCTGTAGGATAAGCACTGAGCTGCTAACTAAAAGGTCGGCAGTTCAAACCCACCAGCCACTTTCAGAAACCCTATACAGGGTCTCTGTCAGTTGGAACCAGCTTGACAGCTCGTAACAACAGCCACAACACCTGAGCAAAGAGCTCAGCAAAAGGTTAGAAGACCCAGGTTTTACATTCTATCCTCCGTGCCTGTGACCCTATTTATCCACCTATGAAATGGGATAATAATACCTCTCTCTTTACTTCCAAGAACATTTTATTGTCGTTGTTAGGTGCTGTCGAGCAGGTTCTGACTCATAGCGACCCTGTGTATGGTTTGTGAGGAGCAACAACTGGTGAGTTTGAACCACCGACCTTGCCGTTCAAGCCGTCCAGTGCTGCTCCCACAGTGCCACACCTGTGGGAGGTTCAAAATTATAAGAACATTATGAGAGGATTCAAATGTCTATAAATTCCAGGAAGTAGTTTTAAGTTTTTATTTATTTATTTTTGGCTGCTAGGGTTTTCACTTCCAGATAATTATATTCTCACAAAGTCTAGATGTCTAATATTTAGACCAAAGCTGCTACTTTTTGCATCTTAAAATATTTTCATTGCATATTTTTTAAATAAGGATTTTTTTAACTAAGGAGGAAGTGTTAGAGTAATTGCTCTGGTCTAAGGTAGTCAGAGTTGCCTTCCTTGTATGTGTGCCACATGGACATGAATTATAAAGGCTCTTTTATAAAGTAGGAGTCCTGGTGTGGCACTGTGGATAAATGTGCTAGACCGCAAGGTCGGTGGTTCAAGCTCACCAACCACTCCTCAGAAACCCCATACAGTGTCACTATGGGTTGGAACCGACTTGACTGCACTTAACAACAACATTTTAAAGTAGGATTAGTGTCATCACATTCTGAAACCTCTTCAGAGCTTCACATATGCCCCTTCTTATGAGATGCAAATCAGCAAAAAGTTCATTCTGAGAAGAAAAATTCTGAAGCGTAATCAGTCTCAAAATCTAGATATGCCTGTATGTTTGTACATAAGTGCATGTGGTCAAAGAGAAAATTTAAAGGAAGCCCCCACAGTGAATGTTACGTTTGGAAACTCTTACCAGGTACCATTAGCTGCAAACCTCAAGTGTTCCCATAATCCGAATTGGAAAGTTCATCATGTCTTAAAAATGTAAAGGGGAAAATCTGTAATTTCCACACTCACTTTTTTTTTTTTTAGTCCAAAACTAGTGAAAACAAAGCTTACTGGGGAACTCTACTATATTTTCATTTAAACTGATAAAATAAGCAGTAAAGAGAAATTAGCTCATTTCCTAGTTTTTCAGGAATTTGAAACAGTTGAATTCTAGCCAATAGAGGTTGCATTCTTCATGTTAGTAGGAAATCATAGTCATTTTTGTCTTTTTTTTTTAATGAAAGAAACACCATAAAAACATCAGGTTATTATTATTAATAGGGGAAGATTTGTCTCTCAAATTTTTATTTTGACAAGAATATATCTTTCTCTATCTGAAAAGGCCTTGCAGGCAGCTTATCAAATACCTTATTGTTTCTTGATTTCTCTGCCTTTTAAGACTTTAAACTGAGATTAGAAGCACCTCATTTCATATAATTCCGATGTTTTTCTTTCTCCCCTCAACCCCTACCCAAGGGGAAAACAGGATTTTAAAACCCTAAGTTCTTCCTTTCAAGCTACTTGTCTCATTCTGCAGCCCTGGCAAGCTATACCTCTAGCAATTAGGGCAGGTAGAAACCTGTTTCTTCTTTTCAGTTTTTCAGAAAAGAATTGGAGTGTTCTCAGCATCAC